CACTTTTACATAAATCCCTAAACAGTCCGATAACGATTAACGTGTGAGTCGTACCACCGTGGTCGCGGTCCCAAGCACGGCCAAGGATGAAATCGATTAATAAAAATAACAAATGATCCTATGAAGATAAGCTGAGAAAGATGCGAGACTAGATAACGTCCAGATACCGGGGAGTATTTATTTTTAAATTAACAAAGTGGTTTCAGTGGAGACAGAACGATGTAAATAGAAATATACACCCACTTATCCGGCTAGCACGGGGATCCTCAACCATTTCACGTCGTGATTCCATCACTAAAAGAAATGTATGAAATTTATTTAGTAAGTGGTTAGAAAACTACTAGGATGAATAAGATATAATCAGAAATAGGTAGTTGTTTCTTATTTTAGTTTTTTACTAGCGCCAGCGAGTAAAAAAATACCTTTGAAAATATAAAAGCTTGTTCGAAACTGCATAAAAAATAGGACTAAAACCTCTGCGAATAATATAAATCTGGCGATGTAATTTATATATAAAAAATCCCATATACCATAGTGTAATTGTCACTTTTACAGCAACAAATGCACTAGTGGTTTTGTCACTTATTCATTTTTTAATCAATTATCGCGGTGTCAGTTGCCAAAATAAATAGTTTGACATAAGGTGGTGACAATAAATTATGTGACAGCAAATGGATTACACCTAATATTTTAGAGGAAGATATTTGCCCAGTACGTTTATGTAAAAAGTTGATGGAAAAACGAAGCACTTCCATAATATTGGACAGAATATTTCTTACACCAAATCCCTTTTGGAAGAAGAAAAATTTTAAAGGTTGGTATAATAATGTGCCAAATGGACTAAATGCTCAACACAACGCATTGGTATAGATGTCAAACGTGTCAAAATTACACATCAAGTGCCAGCAGTTAGCGAATTAAGTAAAAGCGGAATTGAAGAACAAGCTGCAATAGAAATAACAGGACACAGCAATTCATCATCAATAAAACCATACTTACAAGTTCATAACGAGTATCATTCGAGCATTCGCTTGGAAAAAGAACAAAATTCAGAAACACTACAGAAACGATTAGCTGTGGCACCCGTAGCGACATTAGTATTCCTCGTATGAATTTCAATAACTGCTCAAATAAAAAAATAAAATAAAGTTTGCATTGATATGTTTCTAAATTTCTTATTCATTAAATTGTTCTGCCGAATTACACTCGATTGATTGATATATTGATTTGTGTTGTTTAAATTCTAAACTGTTTCCTTTAGCAATTTGACTGGAAAAACTGTCAACCTAAAAACTCTCCACCTTCAGTGCCACGTTTTTAATAGTTGACAGTTTTTCTCGTCTTAATTGCTAGGCAACAGTTTCTCATTAAACAACTCAAAAACCGGGAAATACAAACCTCTGCAATTATAAATGACTTTTTTGTTCTAGTTAAGTTTTTTCATACAGCCCTTACTTAATTTCAATAATTAATTTAATTGGATAAATTATTTCAAGAAATAATTACTTTTATTTTAATTTGCTTCAATTGCACCAGTTTTACAATTCGGACTCATCAACTACCATTATTTGATAGAATTTGAATCTTCATGTCTTTGAAACGCAAAAAGAATATTTTCGATAATGTAATATGAAATACATACATCTAAAATGACAGATGTCATCTGAGTATGTGTCTTGCTATCAGTAATTTTAAAAATAACCACATTATCTTTAATTTTCTATGTCTTGTACTATTATATTTAGTTTCTTTTCATCTAGAAGCGCGTAAATTCCTATTATTCAAATAACCTGAAAAATAAAACAACATCCTATATAAAATAACGTGAATTATATTCATTAATAAACATTGTTTATAAGGGAACTTTTGATTTCCACATTCGATAAAATCTTGGATTTCTTTAAACAATATGTAACTGATATTAGGGTACCAATTTTGAGAATCTTTTTATATGTACTAATGTTTCTTGCAAATTTTTGAGGAATAAGTGGTGCTTAGCTGTTGTTAAAAAAATAGTATTGCTAATGCAAACTCATAAAATATTTTTTGTACCAACCTAAAAAAGACTTGTAAATTATTACAAGCAATCCTTTTGAATAAAGAGTTTTAAAGAAACAGATATGGGTAACAATCCTATTTTATATTGGAAAGCATAAAACGCTGTTTTATTAAACTGTCATTAAAACGGGCTTGGGACCATTCGGAGGCGCGAGCCCGTTGTCGAACGAAGAAAACGGGATAGGGGCATTAGGTATTCGTGGTACTTAAATTTTTGACTTCAACACGTCCTGTGACGACAATAATTCATGGCCCAGTTAAAAATAAATCCAACCTACCAAAATTATAACCAGGTTAGTGCCCCGGCCGTGCAGCAGCACGCGTTGGCCTCTTCTTAGATAGTCGGCCTACAGATGCCTCGTTTTTCAGGAGTCTGCCCGTGAAATGACAGGTGCCCAGGCCCTTAAGGTGGCTACACCCATGGGGTTAGGTCAAAGTATACTACAGCGTGATCGGTTGAGGTTACAGAGCTAGGTCTCGGATACCATTCATGGTACGATTTTAAGGTAAAAAATCTGTCTGCAAATATGACCTAAAGAAATTAATTCAAGATATTTTTAAATTCCTATCCTCATTCATGGGGGGAGGGCATATTTTCCATGATGTTACAAAGAAGGTGGAAAATATAATTTTTATCTCTCTTCAGTCTCCTATAAATTTTGTGTCGACAGTTTTTTTTTATTTACCGGGCAGGATGAAAGATATGTAGATTTTTTCAATTCTAACAAGTTTGTTTTATCTGAATTTTTCAAATTATGATTAATTTTAAGGGGCTCTTTAAGATGTTTTATTTTTATTATAAATGACGTAAACGTTATTTGTTACTTCAATCACAGGAGGTGCTTTTCAGCATAATGTTTTATATTCAATTCTATTTCTCAAACAACTTAAATGCAAGCCTATGAGTTTTTGCTTGATAGTTGTTGATTTATAAAAATAAATATCCGTTTTAAAATTATTGCAAAAATTGTAGTGTCAAAAAAGAGAATACGAATAAATAGGTATGCATATTTCACTAAGAATAAAATGATGAAACTATTAATAAAGTTAATTCCGTGATATACCAAAGGGTACTTTTCGAGTCTTTTTTTCAGTGAGATTGTGGTTAGGCAAAAATAGCCTAGACTGAGGCTTTTGGTACAAAAGTTTGTTTTATTATTTTTTCTGGGGGAAAAAAGATCAAAATATAATATGTAGATGCCAAAACTCAAACTCAAAATTGATATTGATACCTTTTTTTTATTATACTGTTATACAACACTGTTTGCGTATTCGTATTTGCCACCCCAAAAAACGTAAAACCACAAATTTTCAAAAAAATTGGTCCATACTTAAAATATAGCAAAAACTTGAAAATATTTTTGAAAGGAATGTAGAACGAAAAGGAGCAACAATTGACTAAGGTATGTTTGGCTCAATCACTATATTTTGACATTAACAATCTGCCATAAAGCTGTGTACCATTGTTAATGACTCACCCTGTATATTAGATTATAAAAGTATTCCTAATAATATTAATTTATTCTTGCCAAAAAATACCAGTCCAGTTAAAATTGATATTGATACCTTTTATTTATTATACTGTTATACAACACTGTTTGCATATTCGTATTTGCCACCCAAAAAAACGTAAAACTACAAATTTTCAAAAAAATTGATCCATACTTAAAATATAGCAAAAAATTGAAAATATTTTTGAAAGGAATGTAGAACGAAAAGGAGCAACAATTGACTAAGATATGTTTGGCTCAATCACTATATTTTGACATTAACAGTCTGCCATAAAGCTGTGTACCATTGTTAATGACTCACCCTGTATATTATATTATAAAAGTATTCCTAATAATATTAATTTATTCTTGCCAAAAAATACAGTATTTATTTATTGCCAAATACCGTATTTTGGGACCCTTTAACACCCGTACATTATTTTTATAATATTTTTAAAACGCAATAGATGTGAACCCACTGTTTTCATATTTATTTTTCTTAATTAATGTCTATCAGTTGAAGCATAATAAGGGTAGCATATAATTTTTTTATGGAATTGGAGTATATATAACAATTTTAAAAATTACGTCTATCGTTAACCATGCAAATTGACTCATTATCAATCAGATTAATCAACCCTTTGAAAAGAGCCACAGTTTATTAAATGCGGATAAGGTAGTCAAGTTACAATTTTGATAAAAGTTCAACTTGTCGCCATGGTAATTAGAAAAAAATTGTAGGAAGAAACATTGTAGATAAAAGGTATATTTCTGACCAACACTATATGCATGATATTTGGAAATATTGGTAGTTTTTTAATACCATAGCAAATGCGTCCCTTGGCAATGAAATTAGCAACTTGGTAGTATTTTAAATCAGCTTTTTCACCATATTTGCTAATATATTAGTTTTACTTAAAGAAAACACTACAAAAAATTAATAAATTGTCAACAAACACTTGATATATGTTATTCATATTCTTTTTTTATTCGCAATTTGTTCTTATTTTGGTAGGCACGTCCGATGTAGGCCTGTTAAACTGCCCCAAATATATATTTAAGCCGACGATCGCATGTCCGCTTATTATTATTATCATTATTATTAAGTAGTGGTAGCGTGGATCGGTCTGCCTTCACGAATTTCTAAATAATAATTGATCACTTTCGGTGAAGCGAAAAATGAAGGGGAGATAATGATGGCGTGTAATAAGGAATTTGTGTGTAGAGTAAAAAGTGCACTACATCGTAATCTCGCGTTTTGGCGCGGCCCTCAGATGTTATTCATTATCCTATAGTAATGGAATTCAACGTTTAGAAAAAGATGAAAGACAAACATTCGCGTCTTATCAGAAGTGAGACGAACATTTTAGTTCATCAGAAGTGGGATATTCAACAAATTATATGTAAATGTGTTTTTTTTTATGATTTTCACTAGTTTATTTGTTGTTTCAGATGACAGGCAAAAGATCGAGAAGCTTTAAATGCGCCGTCCATCACAGGGACCGGGAGGTTTCTTCAGAAAACGACTTCCATCTTCTCTTGGTTGAGCCGCCATTGTTTCGCAGGCAAGTGTAAATGAATGTGCTGCAAAGAAAAAAAATATATACTATATATACTGTTTACTATAGAACCTAACTAAAATTTGTCATAGATTTCTAAACAAATTTGGCGAAATATACACATAAACTGTGTTAATTATTCATTGTTAAAATGACAAAAAGAACCAAGTACATATACGAAATTAATACAGTATTAAAATAAAAAATTCAAATGTAATAATCAAACAAATCTAGAAAACATCAGTTAAAATTTATTGTAACTTCACACGGGCTTTATACAGGGTGTTTAAGAAAAACCTCCCGTAAATTCGGGGGGTGATAGTACGACAAAAAATAAGAATTTTTTGTCTATCTCCTCTTGTTTTTGAGATACAGAGCGACAAAATAAATATTTTTAAATAGAATTTTTACGAAATTTTCCAAACGGTGCGAAATATTTTTATGAAATTTGGTATTCCGGGGTTTTTAAGGATGCCAAATACACTGGTCTAATTATTTTTTGGATATTTCATAGAGGGCGCTAGTTATGCTATATTCCTATTAGATTTTAAGTTCTAATTTTTTTAAGGTTGGGTTTGTTACCATTCGGGCTCCAATTTCTAATGTATAAATTTATTTTCTAAAAATAATGTACCTACTCTTGTTAGAACTTCCTAATGTGGACGGTTTTCCAGAAAAAAAGCTTTTAACTCAACTCTTACAATATTACGGTGTATAAAATAAGTGACATTTCTCAAAGTAGGCATAGGTCAAAACTTATTGATGGATGTCTCATAAACAACGCATACATTCTTAGTAATATTTTAAACTCTAATTAACTTTATATCAAAATTGTAGTGATTGTTAGTGACTGTAGTTAGTAGTGACGAATTACAGTCACTAAAATTTTGATATAAAGTTTGTTTGCGTTGTTTATGAGACATCCATCAATAAGTTTTGACATAAGCCTACTTTTCGAAAAGTCACTTATTTTCTTCACCGTAATATTGTAAGAGTTCAATTAAAAGCCTTTTTTCTCGAAAACCGTCAACATTAGGAAGTTCCAACAAGAGTACATTATTTTTAGGAAATAAAATTGTACATTAGAAATTGGAGCCCAAAAACCTAACCTTAAAAAAATTAGATCTTTAAATGTAATACGAATGTAGCATAACTAGCGCTTTCTATGAAATATATAAAAAATAATTAGACCAGCGTATTTGGCATCCTTAGAAACCCCGGAATACCAAATTTCATAAAAATATTTCGCACCGTTTGGAAATTTTATTTTGTCACTCTATATCTCGAAAACAAGAGGAGATACACATATAGTTCGTAAGACATAAAAATTCTTATTTTTTGTCGTACTACCATCCCCTGAATTTACGGGAGGTCTTTCTGAAACACCCCGTATATCACCAACATTTTGCAGCTAACAAGTGTCATCAAATAAAAAATTTGGACGCTATATTGTTACGATTTTTAAAGCGAACTCCGTTTTCGTCATTTGTTTTGCACAAAATTATTCAGAAGCAAGTTGATACCACGCGCAAGACTTGACACGTCTACAGAACAGAATTGTTATAAAAATATAAAAATATAATAAACTTTTGAAAGCCACAGATATAACAAAGAACTCTTACGGCGTATGTCTTCAATGTCAGGATTATCCCAATACTTACAGATATTTTTACTCTTTTTTCTTACTCGGCCACTTCATCAGCCGAATCTGTGCTAGACATTTTAAATTAACCCAAAACGACAAAGCAGCAGCAAAATTAATCCGCGATTGATACGCACGAAATGAAAACTTACACGATGTGAAGTCTGGTTCTGGCGGAGATTACCGTTCAATCCATTTCGACCAATAGTTTGGCAGCCACACGTGTTTGATCGTTGTCTGTAGGACTGGAATAAATTGATTTTACACCTAATATGATATGACAACAGTCTGGTAGACGGACAAAAAACAGATGGCCCACGTTAATTCGGCGAAATGAGCAAGATTGAATACATCACCGCTTAGTTTTCATGACGGAAACAAAGTTTGATATATACAGGGTGTTTCAAAACGGATATCGGAAAATGAAACGTGTGATTCTTTGGCTCATTCTAAGAAAAAAATCTTAACATGGATCCGCAAACGCAGTGTTTTCGAGATATGGGGTGTTAAAAAAATACTTTTTTCAGTTTCTTGACGATATCTCAGGAACCGTTTGAGATACAGATATAAAATTTTGTACACGTATTATCATGAATATTAGCTACTTTTGAGCACTAATTAAATTTCTATTCATATGACAGTGGCGGAGATTTTAAGATTGCGTGAGGTTCTTTTGCCCCTAATTTTTACAACTCTGGGAATATTGGCATTTCGAAAGCACATTTTAAACCGCCAATGTTTTTCACATGAAAAAGGTACCCATCATCAAAACGTCTAACGCGAACCGTTTTCAAGATAAATTGCGTTTTATGATGGAAAACATGGAAGAAAGTGGCAACATAATACCCTTTTTTTCAAAACTAAGCAAATAAACAAAAAAGCTAAAAAACTGAAAAAAAAAGAATTTGACACCATAAAAACGATGAATTTGCAAACTCATGTTAATAAGAACTATTTCTCTTAGAATGGGCCAAACACCCTTCATTTTCCGACACATGTTTTGAAATATCCTGTATTTGTAAACGTAGCCTCCATATGACTCCCATTCAAAGTTGCACCCTGTATAATTTTCTCTAAAGCATTTTTTCCATGTAGTTTTTGTTAAGAGTGATGCGGAAATATTTACTTTGTCCCCAAAACCAGCAACTTCAAAACTGTGAAAACGACAGCAACCTAAACCGGGCGCTTTATTTGGATTCTGATTGACGCCGGCACTTGCTCGCGAAGACATTTATATTCCCATGTTAATTCCATCCATTTGATGTGTTCCTTGAAATCTAAATCCCGCCAGCCAATTAAGAGGCGACGCGCCATCCCATCCCGTCCGTTTCCGTTATTCATAAAATGTGTCTCTTCGGCCGGTTTATTTACGGAATGCTCGGAGGAAATTCGGCGTAGGCAGGGAACGGAAACAATTGAAAAACGTACAAAAAACCGATCGCCGCAAAGTTGTCGCTGTCCGAAAATAGAGCAGACGACATTCAGGAGCGTCTGGACGCGTCTTTCGCGGCCGTCGTAGGAGCGCGCGGGCCAGAGGGAAACAACCGGCCGTACTGCCAACTTTCCTTTGATTTGCCTCGAAGTTGTACGTAGAATATCCCGCGGAGTTTCTATTGCACATTCGAGGGTAGCTAAAAAATTGCGAGTTTAGCTTAGATAACAATTCGGAAAAAAAAAGAAAAAATTGGAATCATTTTAACATCCACAATAAGGTATACGTACTACAAACTGAATAATTAATTAAACATACTTAATACTAAAAACTCATTCAATTATTAACATAGTGAAAACAATTATTGTCCTTATATATGTGTTTTAATTAACAAATAAATAATACGTGTTAATATTTAAAATGTAAAACAATATCTTATTTATTCATGTGTCTAGGTCTGGTCTGGTTTTGCCATTCACTATTAAAAATACAATAAAAGCTAGGTTAATGACCGATTTACTCTCGATAAACCTTTGTAGATCAGCGGTCAAGAGCGGTCCGAAAATAGGTTTAAATAATTATTTAAAAATGTTTTTTTTTCAACATAAATATGCATTTAAAATTTTTTTAATCATATATTCGTATTCTACTAATTTTTCCCTATTCTATCTATCCTTAAAATTAACGACATTATGACTGAATCACCCTGTTATAGGGTGTCCTCTACAAAGAAACTATTTTTCTTATTAAAGTAATTTCCTAAGGTTATTCTTTTATATCATAATATATTTTTATCGTCCAAACATAGCGGCTAAAATCCTTTATATCTACCGGTGTGACCATAGGGCTATAATCGATAATGTTGTGGCCATATTAAGAAGATTTACTCAAGTTTTCTAAATACATAATTCATATGTGGCTAATATTAAAAACGTGGAAAATTCAAAACTACACCCACCATTTTTATTTTCCAGGCCGTCGGGGATCTAAAATTTTATCTAAAATTCAATATTTCCGAATTTTTCCATTTTTGTTTCCAATTTGTCTAATCAATATTATGGTTTGTTTCAATTATTCAATTTTTACGAATTTTTCAAGAGCTCCTTTTTTACATAAAATTAAATTCTGCCTTATACATGGAATTCAAAAGTTATATTCCGTATATTTATATTATAAAAACTAGTTTGCGCTAAATTCCAATGCAGTGTGTTGTTTTTTGTAACAGATATGACCAAAACAAAATCGTCCTGGTTCTGATGGTCCGTCAGTCCCTGAATTTAGTATTTTTCATATATCTAGTGGTTTCTGATTATAATTAAGGCCTGCCTTCAAGAGCGCAATTATCTTACGCAACTTTTTTGAGATTTAACCAAATTTGTATGGTATAATATTTTGTATAATTAAATAGTGATTAAAAGTTTCCTTCCCTGTACACAACACTAGAAGGATTAAAAAATGACTCTTACTTTTCAGGATGGTTGCAATTGTGGCAGACGAATTCCTCACAGACGACAGAGACAGGAAGTACTACGCGGATCACTACACCTGTTGCCCCCCTCCACTTTTTGTAATAATCATTACGCTAGTTGAGGTGAGTCTATTTGCCCATATACAGCCCTTTTCACGGCAAATTTGATACAGTGTTTCCAAAAAGAAAAACGTTAAGTTATATTACACTTTTTTTAATTTTAATTAACTGTTACTAATCAATTAGGTACCCAATTATATTTAACATACCTGTAAGAAAATGTTTCCTTATGAATGACAATGAAAATCTCCTCTGTCTAAGTTCGATGCCAAAAATTTGAATGTGAATTTATTGCCTCTACGTTTATATTTCCGACGATTCAGAAATAGAGGTGGGAATGCTATTAATAAATATACGTTTCTAATTGTGTAGTCTATAATATGTTGTTTACATGCAAATCATTTGGAAGGTTAATATCATTAGTTGCACCTTTTTTGTATGCAAATATATTATTTAACATTGTAAGTGCAACACTCATTAAAAATGTTGATAACCATCGACACAAAAGAAATTTTTTCTTGCAAATTTCTAATGCTTCGGTTGCCAATCATTCGCGCCATGATATAAAACTAGCTGCTAAGTCAAGGAAAAATAAAAATGACAGTACTTGATAATAAACTTCTTAGATCATCAAAACAGAGTTTTAGGGAAGAAATTGACAGCTCTTCTTCCGATCAAATCTCCTCAACAATCCTCTTAATTCATTTCGCGTATTATATCACGTATTGTCCTTATTATTGTAATTAATGCGCAGTTTACCTTTTTTTTTTTCTAAACGTTGGGATCTAGAAGATTAATATAATACCGCTTACCGTACCTACGTATCGATACCCATAGGAAGAACCGTATTGTTACGTATCGCTATTAATCAGTTGCTGTTCTATTTTGCCTTGTTTCGTCTCTCCGAACGGATCAACAGTGTCTTTAACCCGTTATGGCATTATTTAGAGGAATCAACAACTTGGCAAGTGGGTTATTAAACTATGAGATTAATCTTGGTGCAAAATTAGTGGTACAGACAAATAGCAACTATGAAAATGAAGATTAGTGGAGCGGTAGAATACAGGTAATATGAATTAATGTCTCCACTGAGACCAGATGCAATCAAATAAAAAAAGCACATGAAACAACCCCTGTTTTCTTTACTTGCGTTTTGATACAATGCATTGAAAGATAGTTTTGTTTACAATTTTGCAAATCTAACTGCATTTTGTCCACTCTGGACAATCAAAACGATTTGAAGTCGCATCATTTTCAATGAATGAAAAGTTTAATATAAAAATATTTTTGTGCCTGTTTATTTTGGCCAATGCATTCTTTATCTTTTTTTGTTGGTATAATCTTTGGTATTTGGTGTGTCACTTTCACATTACGAATTATCTCAATGCTCAAAAAAAAAGACGTGTAGATCCAAACACGACTATCCCTGACATTAAAAGTTTCATCCTCACCCATCCAAAGATATTTCACGTAAACTACGCATCTTGACATATTCACTCCATTCAGCCATTCCCTTCGACGAGCAAAATCATAAGCTCTTGGACTTGTTCCGGACGATAATGGTACGGATAAAAGTAATATTCTCGTATCATTTTTCGTGATAACTCCAAACTACGGACAATTCCTCTAACAGAACTGTATCTTCCATTGCTGGACTTGACCACTGTTATCTTGCTATGAGTTGATAACACATATCCAGACTGCTCTTATATTCAACACAGTATTATTAGCATTATTTATATCATAATATTCTCGAGGAATAATAGTTACCATTGTTACACTTTTGCATCACTAACTACAAAAGAAATGGGTGTGTCAATTATACTTGACGAATTGCTGTATGGTCTTTCTTAAACTACTAACTCACTATTAGCTGAACGAGGATTTTAGATCTATAGTTGACCTTATTGATAGGAAAAAGATGTATGTCACCATTTTAGAAGACCATGGACATAATCTTCTCTTCTTGAAGTATTTGAAAGGTTTCAAATACTTTAAGAAACACTGCCAATCTTCTGCTACTTTCTGAAATGCTGTCATAAGTTTGAGCAACATATAAGACCTTCAGGAAATTGAGGAAACTTGATACTGGTTGTTTTTCTTTGAACTCTTAGATGGCACCACTTTTTTCTATTAAATAACCATAGATTTCCATCACTGCAAATTCATTTACAAGATACAATTCTAAAAAGTGTATTTATAAAGTATATGAAAGAAAATTTCGTTACTAGGATTAAGTCGCACAACTTTTTCCTCTTTTGCCGTCATCTCGTCTTTATCAGAGATCGTCGAACGGTCGTGGGTACACATCGCGGTGTCTGAGTGCCGGAATTGGACCGTGATGAACGAAAGGGCAGTCGGGAAACGGCAACGTCGGCCTACGTGAGGCAGTTTTGTCGCATCACCGCCAAAGCATAATGGGTTTTGTTACAAAACGTTGCTATGTATTGTGTGTGGATCAGATCGATATTTGTAATTTGCCTTGATAAACGATCCTGACGTCGCCGTCGTTATAGGTGTCTGGCCTGGCGGATTTTTCTCTAATAGTACGGGTTACGGTATCGTATAGCTGCGCGTCAGTGGCGTACCAAAAGCTTTGTTCTAAACTTAAGTGTTACGGTGTAATGACCCAGCTCTTACACTCATTAATTCTTATTTATTTGAAACATTTCAGGAAATATGTTTGTTCTCTATTCGTTTAGATATTCTTTCTGGTGTTCCCCAGGGCTCAGTTCTAGGTCCCTTACTTTTCATAATTTATACGGCTGGCATTTTAGAATTAGTTCAACAATATAAGCTACAGGCGTTGCTGATGATACACAACTATATTTTCAGTTTGATATAAATGATTTTCTGGTACATCTAAAATGTTTTTAATAATAAACTTGAAATTGTGTTATGTAAGTCGCTTATTCTTTCCCATTATTGTAATAATACTTATTGTGTTTATTATACCACTCGTTTAGATTATTCTAAATAGAGTCGACCTTCATTAGGTGACAAAGTATATATAAAAAATTGAAACTATAGTAAATTTTACAGAAATAGAACATTCATGGAAGTTTGGTAAAGTGTTGTGTCAAAACTGGAACTGAAAAGATATTTTGAGCAAAGATAAATAAACTGCATAATCCCTTTTTATAAAATTATTTTGTCAATTTTTTGAGACTACGCCTCTGTCTATCACTATCTCATTGTCGGATGAACAAGACTTCAGCGACCATAGATCGATTCCTTACTCATGGCTCGATATTTTCAACGTTTCTATACGAATAACTAACTGTAGAATCGCATGCTTCAAGTCGCACATCGTTACCTTTAACTAGATGCGTATTTTTTTCTCTGAACTTTCGTATGCCGAATAAAATATTAGGCTCTAACAGACGTTTTCAGGGAGTAACTGTGTTCGCACTGCGCCAGACCGCAATCTTATTATCCTATATTGGTCGGAGTTAAATCGAATTTGTCTGAATGTGGTTAACATTACATTTGTGGTGTTTTCAATATGATCCAGAAACCAAGCGCCAAAGTGCCGAGTGGAAGGTGTTAGACGAGCCAAAACCCAGCATTTGGAGAAGTCAAAAATGAAGACAATGTTGATTTGCTTTTACGATTCCAAGGACATTGTCCACAAAAAGTTCGTTGGCATTTTGAAGCGTTTGGTGTTTCGTATTCGGCCAGAATATCGCGCAGAAAGACGTTGGCGTTTGTTACACGATAATGCGCCATCTCATCGATCGACATTTGTACCTTTTCGGAAAAATGCATTTGCCGATGAAAGGGTAGCTTTTTGTGGACGTAGAAGCCATCCAAAAGGCTTGGACCGACATCCTGAAGAACATCCCGTCCAAAATAAATCAGTTTTGCTAAAAAAATGTTTGTTGTTCTTATTTTCAAAAAGTCCTGTTTACTTTGGGACGCACCTTGTATTTTCGCCTTCTAACTAGAACATTTTACTTCCCCGATTTTATTTAAAGTGTATCTAGTTGCAAACATGTAATTTTACACAAATAAATCGTTCGTCGCTTTGCTAACTTCAATTACAGAACTGTATCAGATACGTCTTAAAATTATATAATCCAACGGAGCCGCTAATACCACTATTTCATCACGACTTGATCTAGAGTAGGCACAATATAAAAAAAAAACGGTCATTGCCAAGTGAAAATGGGACTAGTCGTCGGTTCTCACGTTACTAGTTTGACGTACGCAAGTTCTATGGACGCGATATCTACTACTAGGCAGAGAACGCAGGCAAATTAGCCTACCGTTGAACCCGTACAGTTGAGGTTTCGGTGGAAATAAAAGAAACATACAAGTCTAATTTTAACCTAACAGATTCCCGGTTGGAAACCGAAAAGGTAATTAGATTGTTTTGACTGCTCCTCGGGCTTGCTCTCTGGTATCTATTAGAGCTCGTGGATGTGGGATAAATACACTGGAAACCAGATTGTGCAAAGGAAATGAAAGATTCGGCTTTCCAATGCTTTTCTTCTTAGTGATCTTCAAATTCTGAGTTGTAAGTCTGGAGTCTTAGAACACTATGGTCTTAATGTCATGAAAAATTGAGTCATTTGCCAGTATTTTTTAAGTAAATATAATTTTAAGATGGATGTAGACATATTTTGGTACCTATATGTACTGAAAACATAATTTTCAGACAATTTGATGGATTGGCGATTTCCATTAACTGTGTGCGTGGTCCTTTGAAATAGTACAATGTAAGGCAGGTGCAAAATTTTCGTTGATTTTACTTCCAATTTTTAGTTACCGTTTAAGGAAAATATAAGTAAGGCAAAAGTGCCTATGTTAAAAATCTGCCACTTTTTATTTATTGTTAAATTAATTGAATTATAATTATAAGGTGTTGTCTGTTCTTCTTCTACGAAAATAGTTGTTCTAAACCTAAAGAAGTAGCTGTGGAAATTCTCCAGACTCCTCTTCAATTATGTTGTTTTTGTAGAAGTCAGAAAACCAATAGGCGATCTGTAAGTTGTCATTAGCGGAACTCATTATAGATCCCATCGGTTAACGACAAAAAGTTTTCAGTGAAATTAATTCCC